ATATTGCCCGGAAATGAGGCGATTCACCATCTTGTGGAAACCAATTACCGCAGAGTTGTAAATCTTCATCTTTCAAAAATATAGCGCTAAATCAAAAATTCTGAACAACTAAGTATTTCCAGACAAACTCGTTTTTTCGTTTCTAAGATATAAATCTATAAGTTATCATACCAGCGTTCGATTTTATAACTAAACAAAGTTATCAACCTCTAAATTTGAAACGAATTCAGCATATATACATTTTTAAGTCTAATTTAGATCGTTTCGACTGAAAATCAGATTGACCCAGTGGACTAAGGCGCTAAACGTAAGTTCTGGTTTGAAAAACGAGCGAAGGTTCGAATTCTGCACCTGACACTATAATTGACATTTTTCTCAAAAATGTAAAATGTATATTGCAATACCCAAACCAAATTGCTAACATCCATGTGCTGTCAAAATCATCATCCACCTATGACGTTATAGTCTATGACAACTAACAACGGTATTTCAGTGTATGAAAAATATAAAAAATTAGTCGAAGGTTATTTGGACCCCCCCCCCCCCCCTGCGCCAAGGATTTGCTCCCAAGTACCGACAATGTAAAATATATTTAAAGCAGATAACCATCGGGAAAAATATTCTCTCAGCACAGTTCATTTTTTGAATAAACCTACGATTTCTTCGTTGTTTAAATAGGTACGGATAAACTAGGGACAGATTCGTGATTCTAAGCACATTTCCGACACGAATGAAAAAAAATGCTCTCCAATTATTTTGTTCGTTTCCATATCTATCCCTAACCCCGGCGTATTGTTGGCAAATTCCATCACGCGTTGACAGACGATATGTAGAGGCCCATTTTTCCATGAGAGGAATCAGCGGAAGTTTAAATTGAAACACCTCTGTGCGATTTTATAGCCAAACAAAATTACTAACCTCTACATTTGAAACAGATTCAGCCTAATGCCTAATTTAAATCGTTTCGACTGAAAATCAGATCGGCCAAGTGGACTGTTTTGAGAATCGAGCGCAGGTTCGAATTCTGCACCTGACACCATAGTTGACGTTTTTGTCAAAAATGTATATTACAATACCTAAACCAAAATACAAAAATCCTGAAGTGCCATGCGTTGTCAAAATCCTCATCCACGACCACCTATGACGTAATAATCTATGACGACACCGAGCGCGGTCAACTCCGAAAGTTGGCAAATAACAACTCAGGAAAATAAGAAAGCATGCACTGTTTCAGATATTGCAGAAAAATATAAAAAAGGTTATTTCATCAGAACTTCCCTCGCCCTTGACCTATAGTCCGACAAATCCCGTTACTTTAAATTATAAAATTGGATTTTACGATTTTCATTTTTGTAATAACCTGTATAATGTAAAAATTAGTGTTTTAAATAACAACCCGGCACCAAGGATTTGCGCTCCCAAATAGGAACGATGAAAAATATATTTAAAGCAGATAACTATCAGAAAAAATATCGTCTCAGTGCAAGCTTAAAAGTTCAAGTGTTTATGTTTATACATCGAAAGAATGTCACGTAGAAATTAGTTTGATTTGAATGAGGTCGTCTCCTCAAAATAGAGGACGTCATTAAATTATTTGTGGGGATGATTAGGAAAGTTTGTTAAGCATTTAATAACCTACATAATTATCCTAATATACTTACAAAATTTAACAATCAGTCTAGTAGTTTCGGAGATTACGTGTCCAATAAAAATTGAGACAGACGCCAGACAGACAGACGGAAAAGAGAGAACATTTTTTTCGTACTCTAGGGGTCATGAAACGTGGAAAAAACATTAAATTGGCAAGTCGCCCGATTGAGTTGTTTGCTATACTTTTTTAGTTTACGATAGAGAAGTAAAAAGCAAAAGGAAGATGGGAATTACATAAAATGACCTATTTTAAATTTTGGAAAAAACGCGAATTTTCCGAGATATAAAGATATCAACAGAAGCTAAACACATATCTCTTTGAATCAACTAAGTCAACTTAATTTTTGACTCAAAGAAGGTGGAAGTGACGGGATAATAAATACGTTCATTTCCTTACTTTTGAAGAAAATGTTATATTAAATAAGTATTATTCCTTCGGCGAAATATAACCTAACCTGACCTGATTTCACCTGGCCTGACCTGACTTGTCCTGTTCAGATTTGACTGACCTTTCCTAATCTGAGCTGAAATTTCCCATGGACCCATTTTTAGACATTTTTTTAAGTTTCTTGTTGTCAAAATAAATCTACTCATATTAAAAAACAAAAGGCAAAATCTAGCCCCGCCCACCCGCCCTCTCTCAATTGTGATGATTTTTTTTTTAATCGTCGAGAGCCAAAGCGGAATTTAAGTGCAAAATCCTTATTATTTCTCTAAAGAAATTACCGTGTAAGACTTGTTTTTGAGTATCGTGTTATTCAAAGTATACTATGTACATATATTAAGAAAAAATTAAAGCTAAAGATTAAGCTTCACCCATTCCTGCCTTAATCTAAATAGTAATGAAGTTTTCATTCGTTGCCAGACCAGGGGCGGAGCCTAATTGCAAAATCCATATTTTCTTCCAAAAATGTACCAATTTAGACATGTTTTAAGTTGCTAAGAAAAAAATCATCACAATTGAGATGGGGTGGGTGGGCGGGGTTTATATTTTGCCTTTTTTTAGTATACATAGTATTCTTTGAACAACACGATACTCAAAAACATGTTTTTAATTGCTTGTAAAGAAATATTTTGCAATTAACCTCCGTTCCAGTTGTTCACGGCGAATAAAAAAAAATCAGCACAATTGAAATAGGGCGGGTGGGCCGGCCTATATTTTACCTTTTTGTTTTAATATGTGTACGCTTCTTTTCACAACATGAAACTTAAAACATGTCTAAAATGGAAACTTTTAAACATTTTTTAAGTTTCTTGTTGTGAAAAGAAGGCTACACATTTTTAGAAGAAAAAAAAAAAAAACAAAATATATCCCCGGCCACCCACCCTGAGTCAATTGTGGTGATTTTTCTTTTATTCTTCGTGAGTCAAGAAGGCAGAGCTTAACTGCAAAATCCTTATTTCTCTACGAGAAATTAACAACATGTTTTTGAGTATTGTGTTGTTCAAATAATACCATGTATATTAAGAAAAATAAAACCAAAGATTAGATCCCACCCCATAATTGCAAAATCCATATTTCCTTACAAAAATGTATAAAAATGTATCATTTTAACCATGTTTTAAGTTTTTTGTTGTGACAAGATGGCATTAAGAAAAAAAAAGGCAAAATATAAGCCCCGCCCACCAGCCCTGTCTTAATTCTGATGATTTTTTATTCGTCCCAAGCCGAAGGACGAAGCCTAATTGCAAAATCGATATTTCGCTAGACAAATTTACCATTTTAAACATCTCTTAAGTTTCTTGTTGTGAAAAGAAGACTACACATTTAAGAAAAAAAAGGGGGCAAAATGTAGCCCCGCCCACCCACCCTATCGCAATTGTGATGTTTTTTTTTTATTCGTCGTGAGCCAATAGGGCGGAGTTTAACTGCAAAATCCTTATTTCTGTACGAGAAATTAAAAACATGTTTTTGAGTATCGTGGTGTTCAAAGAATAGTAGGTGTATTACGAAAAAATAGAGCCAAAGATTAGTTAGGTCCCATCCATACCCACCGATCTCAATTCTCAATTGTGACGAATTTGTCATTGGTTGTCAAATCGAGGGGGGGGGGCTTAATTGCAACATCCATATTTGTCTACAAGAATTTACCATTTTAAACATGTTTCAAGGTTCTTGTTCTGAAAAGGTGACTACGTATATTAAGAAAAAAGGCAAAATATTAAAACCTGTTTTGAGGTAACCTGACCTGTCTCGACCTGACCTGACCTCTCCCTACCTTATTTAAAAAGACCTGACCTGAGTCAATCTGGTCTTCTGACTTGATCTGACTTGATCTGACCTGACCTCTCCTGATCTGATCTGACCAGACCTGACCTTACCTGGGTTAACCTGACTTCTCCTGACCTGATCTGACTTAAAGTTTCTAATGGATACTGCAGTAGTGACTTGGCCTGACCTCTCTTGACCTGACCTAAGCTAACCTGACCTGTCCTAAGTTAACCTGATCTCCTGACTTGATCTGACCTGATTTACCTGCAATTTCTAGTAAATATTGTAGTAGTGTTGTGGTGTGCATGAACTAGGACTCAGGAGTAAGAAATTTAGATAAAAATATTATAGTCTAATCCGACAAACATATTTTACTATTTCGTATATTTTAAAAAATAATGGATTATTGAAATAAAGACTTTTTAATTTATGTTATATAAGTATATCTAATTTTTCGCTTTTTCTACGATATTTAAAAAAGTTGCTCCTCAAATCTATCCAATCCCTAAATTTTATTAATCGAATTTAGATGTTTCTTTGTAATAGTAGAATAAAAAGGGTGCATTGTCCATTACTATTGAAAATTTTTGAGTATAAAATAAAAAATCCGACGTAAACGTGCAGTTATGTAGTAGAACTGATCCTTTACCACCAAATACGTAGTAACAAGTACCCCAAAGTACCAAAAAGCGACAGCCCCCCTGCACCGGACTCCAGAACAAGTTCGCTACATGCAATCCAAGTTTAGCATTCCGCCCTCGGCTAATCAATGGACATCCTCTCTTCTCGCAAAACACGATCAAAACCTATATCTACCTCGCTAATGTCGGCCGTAAAATCGAGGAATGCCGTTACGACGCTCAATTACAATCCCAGCAGCCCCAAGGTGGTAAAACTCGGCCAATAAATAAGCCGTGTAAGCGGTGCCGTTGCAAAAGTGGGGCCGTTAAAATTTCAGATGCAAATAGTATTCGCTTAAGAGCCCCATTCCAGACGCAATCTTTTTATTGTGTGAGTCCGCCTTTTTTCCGGGATATGTTGCGGAATATTCCGGGATTAATGGCGCCCGGAAAACGCCGTATTTCTTCATCAGCGAGATCTGCAGCGTCCAATTAGTCTAATGAAAATATATTTGCAGGTGAGTTCCTGGCGTCGCGGCGACGCTACAAGGAGGCGGCGGTTATGTACGAGAAGGCGGCGGAATTGAGGCCGCACGACTACGAGCTGGCGGTGGCGGCGGCGACGGCGATGCGGCAGGCGGGCCGACACCTGGAGGCGGAGAGGTGGTACAGGACGGCGGTGGATCTCAAGCCTTCAGTGAGTTTTACACTAGTTTAATTTCTTTCAACTAAAACTGCTGCATATTTTTTGATTTTTTACATTCTTCAATTTTTAAAACGAAGATCGTCGAATTCACGTAAATGGGTTTTGAATCATTGAATGAAACCACTATAAATAGAAATTTTATAAATTTGACCAGGAACGAGGGTTTACAGTTGGACATACCAAAAATGAATAAACTGCTTGAAGGGATAATTGATTTTTAAATACTTTATGGTTGTTCGCTGTCTCATTACCTGTCACTCAAGGTAGCTAGCAACGACCTCTTATAAACATAGTGTGTATTTTTTTTAAATGTGCTTTGTAATTCGCAAGTAAAACTCGATAATGTTTAAAATAAATTTACGTTGGATAAAATTCGCCACAAAAACCCGCATTTCCAGATGCTGATTAAACCGAAAAAAAATCGAGCTGAAAGGCCCATGTTTCGAATTTTTTGTAATTAAATGTAGGCGGGTGCTACTTTCTTAATTCATCGCTACCTCCCAAGGCTTCACTCTTTATTCCCGTCTAATTAAATTTTCGACGATGTGAAGATGGAAACTCATTAAATATACAATTAGCAAGAACAGACCTTTGGCAAAATTGCCTCCTTTTTCGCCCACTCAAACTGGAAATGTTATAATCATAATTAAAGCGATTTAGAAAGGGAAAAATCGGTGAATTAGGTAAAGCGTTGAAATCCTTGAGAACTTAACAAACTGCCACTGCTAAGCTACAGAAATCACTGGAGAGCTTCATTTCCATTTTATCATATCCTTCTAAGAGATTTCTTTCTCTAGTAAACGTCAAGGAGCTTCGATTCGTTCGCTAAAATGGGTATTTTATCAAAGTGAGTGAGTGGCGAGCGAATTTTGACCTGGCGAAAATTGTTAATAAAGGGTGTATGCTTGGTTTCTCGCAAAATTTTAAATTCAATTTAGGCTGTGCTGGAGGAAATTTAATAGGTAGTTAAAAGTTGCTGAGCAAAAAACATATTTTTTGCCCTTTATATCGAGTACTTTGTGGGGTTGGTTAAATTAGCAGCGAAGCAAAAAGCAGGATTTTTTGTGCAATATTTCGAAATTATCTCACATATTTTTATTTTTTTAATACAACAACAACAAAAAACCAATTCGATTAAATTTAAAATTATTCCATTGAAACAAAAATATTTGGCTACATCAATTTTGAAAACAATATTTACTCTTTTAGTCCGTTACATGACAACAGAGTTGCGAATATTCTTGAAAACGATTCATTATTATATAACTTGATCCGCATCTATGGAACTCCGCAGTGCTGATTATTTGGAGAACCAAACTTTGTTAAATTGTTGTGGAAGCTTTTAGTAGCGTAGTTATGGCGATACTTAGACACTAAAGTAGTTTAGAGCGCCTGGCAACGAGGTCACTACACCGGCCACTTTTTTTGCAGGACGCTCGCAGCCACACGAACCTGGGGGCCATTCTCCACCTCAACGGTAAATACAGCGAAGCGGCCAGCAGCTACAAGGAAGCCCTGAGGCTGCAACCCGACGACATCACCACCCTCACGAACCTCCACAAACTCCATAGCGTGATGACTTGACGCTGATCGAAGCCTGAAGACGGTTCATAATCAACGAAACGAGGATATCTGTGCAACGTGTGCTTCTCCACGCCGACGTTTTGGGACCACCCCGTATAGCGACACTCGGCATCCACGAGACTCTGACAATATGAATGACGATCGATAGTGATATTTTTGTTAAGAACTGTATTTTTTCAGAACACTGATATCCTGTACATAGGGTCCGGTTTGGGTTAATTTTTCGTACGGAAATGTTTACATATCTTTTTATCAGTGTAATGTCATTTTGGATTGGATAAAGCTTCTATTATTCCTCGGAACTGTAAGCTTTCAAATATTATTACCATATTGTTGGCTTTTAATGGGTCGTATTGTAATTAAAATCTGTATTTAATTAAATTGTAAAATAAAGCTTTAACTTATTTTGTGTATGCAGCGGTTTCATTCCGGACCTAATTACCACCTCCGGGGCGTAATAAATCGCCCACCTTAAGGACGGGAGAGGGCGTCAATATCGATTTCGAATTATTCAGCGGCGGTTAATCAGTTATGTCCTCATCATCCCTAAAAAATTACCCTGCTGATAATAGTTTGGGAATTTTATTACCCTTTTTCTGCTAAGCAGTTCCAGCCATTAATGGCACGGAATAAATGCCTTTTTATATCCAGTCCGTGGGATTTTCAACTAAAATCATTTCTTTAACGACGCACTAATTACGAAATGAAATCTAATGCACTTAATTCTTGCGAAATTTTCCTTATTGATCACGACATTCTGCTATTCGATAGGTTATTTCAAAATACCGGAGATCACATTTTCCTCTTAACGGGATATAGGCGATGGAAAACATATTTCCGTTTTCAGCACAAAAAAGTTTTCATTCAGTAATTTTTCCATTAGTGCCGAATTCGAAAACCGTATTTTCTAATTTGGGCGCATTGTGATGGGCTAAACCGAAACTACCAAGTACGTTGTTCTGTATGTACCTGGAAGTTGATTTCGAAATTTCGAGTCAAACAAAAATTCTCCAGCGGCGTAGGCAGCCACAACCTGTATTCATTTACGTAATGCGTCCCCTCCACTTTTATTTCTTTCATAAATTTGCCGCCATTTCCCCGCCCCCTCGCCGCAATTTACTCGACTTAATCCTCAAAAACCACATCAGCCCCCGCTCGATCCATCCCATAAACCGCCCTCTTTGATTATTCACATAAAAAAGATTGTGGAGATCAGTCCACCGCATCCGGACTTTTCCAAACCGGAATTTCTCCGATGATTCGTTTCCGCTCAAGTTGAAATCTCGTTTGCAGGTTTACAACAATCTATTTCTGGACGGTGGATGCACTTGACGATATTTTCACACAAGTTCCGGACTATTCCGGACGGTGCAAGTGCTATTTGCAAGCAAATGAGCGGAGTTTTCTGTTTTACAAGCCCGGAGTTATGACAATGTGGCGACGGTGCTTTGTCTGCGGCGGCGACTTTTTTAATGGGGGTGGTGTCGGGGGGCGAATTTCCGCCCTTTATTGACTTATTAATCCTCTGAAGTTAGGCAACTCATGGTAAGTACATTGTCTGCAGTCTGATTAATTAGGTTCATAACCCGTTGGAACTTCTATCAAAATTCCATAATTGTTGTCTGTTTCAAAAACAGAATGATTTAGTCTCAGAATAAGTACATATATTATAAATTTAAAAGTTCGTTACAAGCACATTTACACTTGACAAACCAAAGCCTCGTAATTCGTCGCCTTTACCTCCTTACCATGGCTAGGAAAATAGCAAACACCAAACTTCGGATGTATCTAAAAGAGCGTAAAGTGTAAAAAAAACAACAAAAATTGTGGTCAAAATTGGTCACCTTTCCAATAATCCAAGACCCATCATGGGACACTCTTCCCACATATAAGGGTGCACCGTCCTTATTATGCCCGGCTTGTACCGCCCCTGCGGGTACATGGCCACCTCTCGCTGGCACCCATTTCAGATAATTGATACACAAAATCTACCAAAAACTTGTTATAAACGAAATGTGAAAATATGAGACTTACTTCATAATTCTGCACGGGATGTTCTTTCCCATCGTGGGCGACATAAGCGGCTCGTTTGGCCGGAACGACGTGCACTGGGGCCAATTCGTTGCCAAAGTGTGCCCGGCCTATGTAGACAGGGTGGTTCTGGGTGTCGAAACCCATCTGGACGGCCATGGGAGGGACATTTTCTTCACAAACGCAGGAATTGACCCAGTGATACGGAGCTGAAATTGTAACAAAAAATAAAAAAAAAATATAATTTTTAAATACTTGCTTTTTCCAGCCATATTAATTCGGAAATGTTAGCACTAAGAAAGAAATGCAAGTGAGGAATAGAGCTCGGCTGGGACGGTTTTAAGGGTGTTCGTTATCTTATCTCTTGTCGCACCTTGTGTCATTCCTTTGAAGAATTTTATTAGCCGCTTGTTTTATGGTCTTAAAACACTAGTGTCACGGGTTTACCAGAAATCATATTTCCCGTCAAATACATTTCCGAGTTGGACTTTTAAGAAACCCAGTTGACTAACACCTGGGTTTGAGTGACTTTTCTGTTAAAAAAAAAATATTGAATGCAGTGACAAACACTGACTCAAATACCGGCTAATAACGGCAACAAAACTCAAAAATATAAATAAATTCGGCTAACTAAAAAGTACTTGTTTAAGGATAAAGCTAGAAATGTTTGGGCGGAGATTTTATATCTTAAACATAAAACTACAAAGGAATCAAAATATCGTAGAACATGAAGAAAAATAAAAACATAAAAAATAGGGTTAAATTCACAAAGTTTTGCAGTGACAAAAGCAACAGTTGATTCAAATTAAATCAATAAATGCAAATCACTTAATAATCGTAATTTAAAATTACGACTTCGCGAAAATTTAACAAGTAAATATGAGGATGTTTAAACAGTGATAAAAGCAAAGAATATTAAATCTGTTTGTATGCAAAATAAACCGCAGTTAAAATGAGTGACAAATATTACATCAATAAATAGTTACCAGAACACACGAAACCTCTTCATAATACTATCTATATCCGAGTACTGACCAATACCTGGAGGTAAAATATTTAGCTTTACGTATTATGCCAAAATTCAACTTCATCACAGACAGAGGCACCAGTGGCCGCCAAATTTTATAAAGGTACTTTTAAATGAAATAAAACTAAATTTTTCCCGGATTCGTTCAACAGGTGTCATTTTCACCTGATCAAGGGAATTCCGGATTCTTTCAAATTACTTCAAAATTAGGACAAGAGGTCCCTGAGATTCTTTCAAACTCCTCTAAAAATAAAAACACGATAAAGGATCCGCGAGATTCTTTAAATTACTTCAAAAATAAAACACAAGAAGTTCCCGAGATTCTTTCAAATTACTCCAAATACTAGATAAGGATCTCCGAGATTTTTCCGACTACTTCAAAAATAAAACACAAGGGGTCTCCGAGATTCTTTCAAATTACACTAAAAGCAAGAAAGAATCCCCAAGATTCTTTCGACTACGTACTTCAAGAACAAAACACAAGGGATCCCCGAGATTCTTTCAAACTACTTCAAAAACAAAACAGAAGGGGTTCCCGAGATTCTTTCAATTTCTTGAAAAACAAAACATGAAGGGTCCCGGAAATTCTGTCAACTGCTTCAAAAACAAAACACAAGGGGCCCCGAGATTCTTTCAAATTACACTAAAATCAAGAAAGAATCCCAGAGGTCCTTTCGACTACCTATATCAAAAGCAAAACACAAGGGGTCCCCAAGATTTTTTCAAACTACTTCAAAAACAAAACAGAAGGAGTCCCCGATATTCTTTCATACTACTTCAAAAACAAAACAGAAGAGATCTCCGAGATTCTTCAAAATTACTCCAAAAACAAGATAAAGATCTCCGAAATTCTTTCAAGTACTTCAAGAATAAAACACAAGGGGTCCCTGAGATTCTTTCAAACTACTTCAAAAACAAAACCCAAGGGGTCACCGAAATTCTTTCAAATTACGCTAAAATCAAGAAAGAACCCCCGAGATCCTTTCGACTACCTACTTCAAAAACAAAACACAAAGGTCCCCGAGATTTTTTCAAACTACTTCAAAAACAAAACAGAAACAGTCCCCGATATGCCTTCATACTACTTGAAAAACAAAACACACGAAATCTCCGAGATTCTTCAAAATTACTCCAAAAACAAGATAAGGATCCCCGAAATTCTTTCAATTACTTCAAAAACAAAACCTGAAGGGACCACGAGATACTGTCAACTACATATTTAAAAAACAAAACAGAAGAGGTGCCCGAGATTCTTCTAAACTACTTCAAAAACAAAACACAACGGGTCCCCGAGATTCTTTCAACTACTTCAAAACCGGAACACAAGAGGTCCCTGAGATTCTTTAAAATTACTGCAAATACTAGATAAGGATCCCCGAGATTTTTCCGACTAATTACATCAAAAATAAAACACAAAGTGTTCCTGAAATTCTTTCATACTTCAAAAACAAAACACAAGGGGTCCCCGAGTTTCTTTCAAATTACTCCAAAAACAAAATAACGATCCCCGAAATTCTTCTGACTACTTCAAAAACAAAACACAAGGAGTCCCTGAGATTCTTTCTAACTACCTTAAAAACAAAACCCAAGGGGTCACCGAGATTCTTTCAAATTACGCTAAAATCAAAAAAGAATTTCCGACATTCTTTCGACTACTTACTTCAAAAGCAAAACACAAGGGGTCCCCTCGATTCCTTCATAGTACTTCAAAAGCAAAACAGAAGAGATTCCCGAGATTCTTCAAAATTACTCCAAAAACAAGATAAGGATCCCCGAAATTCTTTCAATTACTTCAAAAACAAAACCTGAAGGGTCCACGAGATACTGTCAACTACATATTTCAAAAACAAAACAGAGGAGGTGCCCGAGATTCTTCTAAACTACTTCAAAAACAAAACACAACGGGTCCCCCAGATTCTTTCAACTACTTCAAAACCAGAACACAAGAGGTCCCTGAGATTCTTTAAAATTACTGCAAATACTAGATAAGGATCCCCGAGAATTTTCCGACTAAGTACATCAAAAATAAAACACAAAGTGATCCTGAGATTCTTTCATACTTCAAAAACAAAACACAAGGGTTCCCCGAGTTTCTTTCAAATTACTCCAAAAACAAAATAAGGATCCCCGAGATTCTTTCAAACTACTTCAAAAAGAAAACAGAAGGGGTTCCCGAGATTCTTTCAATTTCTTCAAAAACAAAACCTGAAGAGTCCCGGAAATTCTGTCAACTACTTCAAAAACTAAACACAAGGGGCCCCGAGATTCTTTCAAATTACACTAAAATCAAGAAAGAATCCCCGAGGTCCTTTCGACTACCTACATCAAAAGCAAAACACAAGGGGTCCCCGAGTTTCTTTCAAATTACTCCAAAAACAAAATAAGGATCCCCGATATTCTTTCATACTACTTCAAAAACAAAACAGAAGAGATCTCCGAGATTCTTCAAAATTACTCCATAAACAAGATAAAGATCTCCGAAATTCTTTCAAGTAGTTCAAAAACAAAACACAGTGGGTCCCTGAGATTCTTTTAAACTACCTCAAAAACAAAACCCAAGGGATCACCGAAATTCTTTCAAATTACACTAAAATCAAGAAAGAACCCCCGAGATCCTTTCGACTACCTACTTCAAAAACTAAACACGAGGGTCCCCGAGATTTTTTCAAACTACTTCAAAAACAAAACAGACGAGATCTCCGAGATTCTTTAAAATTACTCCAAAAACAAGATAAGGATCCCCGAAATTCTTTCAATTACTTCAAAAACAAAACCTGAAGGGTCCACGAGATACTGTCAACTACATATTTCAAAAACAAAACAGAAGAGGTGCCCGAGATTCTTCTAAACTACTTCAAAAACAAAACACAACGGGTCCCCGAGATTCTTCCAACTACTTCAAAACCGGAACACAAGAGGTCCCTGAGATTCTTTAAAATTACTGCAAATACTAGATAAGGATCCCCGAGATTTTTCCGACTAAGTACATCAAAAATATAACACAAAGTGTTCCTGAGATTCTTTCATACTTCAAAAACAAAACACAAGGGGTCCCCGAGATTCTTTCATACTACTTCAAAAGCAAAACAGAAGAGATTCCCGAGATTCTTCAAAATTACTCCAAAAACAAGATAAAGATCTCCGAGATTCTTTCAAATTACTCCAAATGTTGGATAAGGACCCCCGAGATTTTTTTGGCTACTTCAAAAATAAAACACAAGGGGTCCCCGAGATTATTTCAAATTACTCCAAAAACAAAATAGGGATCCCAAGATTCTTCTGACTACTTCAAAAACAAAACACAAGGAGTCCCTGAGATTCTTTCTAACTACCTCAAAAACAAAACCCAAGGGGTCACCGAGATTCTTTCAAATTACGCTAAAATCAAGAAAGAATCTCCGAGATTCTTTCGACTACCTACTTCAAAAGCAAAACACAAGGGGTCCCCGAAATTCTTTCATACTACTTCAAAAGCAAAACACAAGAGATTCCCGAGATTTTTCAAAATTACTCCAAAAGCGAGATAAGGATCCCCGAGATTCTTTCATTTACTTCAAAAACAAAACCTGAAGGGTCCCCGAGATTCTGTCAACTATTCAAAAAACAAAACAGAAGAGGTCCCCGAGATTTTTTCAACTACTTAAAAAGGAAAAAACAGGAGGTCCCCGAAATTTTTTCAAACCACTTTAAAATCAAAACACAAGGAGTCTCTGAAATTCTTTGAAATTATTTCGAAAAATAGATAAGGATCACCAAGATTCTGTCAAAAACAAGGTCCTCAGGGGATCGCCAAGATTCTTTCAAACTACTTCTAACTGATTGTTACAATTCTACACCCGGAACGCTGATCCAGATCTGATTCAGATTAGTCCGTATACTCAGTTTTGAAAAATCTGTATCTATGTTCGTATCCGATCCGTTTCCATACGTGGGCCCATTCTAGTTTTAAATTCACAGATATGCTCCGGGTAGGTTTTTTTTAAACCCGGATTTTTAAGTGTCTCATCAGCAACGTTAAAAGCGACAGAATCCATTGTTTCAAAAAAAAAAAAGAAAAACACAAATTGTTTTGTATTAAAATACGTATATTATAAATTTAAAACTGTGTTAAAAGCAAATATAAAGACCAAAATTACAAAACGGACGTCTATTTCTTCTAGACGAAACTTTTTTCCTGATAAGAAAACACACATTCACATTTGACACACTAAGGCCTCGTAACTATTGGCCGTCAACTCTTTACCCTGGCAAGGAAAGTAACAAACAGAAAACTTCGGATGTATCTACAAAAAAAAACAAGTTAGACAAAAAAAACTAGCGTTTAAAGTTGACCACCTTTCCGATAATCCAGGACCCACCGTGGCACACTCTGCCTACATACAACGGCGACCCATCCTTATTGTGCCCAGCTTGTACCGCCCCTGGAGGTACTTTTCCCCCATGAGCTGACACCCATTTTAGATTTATACATAACAGCTATAAAAAACCTGTGTAACCTAAATTCGGAAAAATACAAAATACAACTTACTTGATAATTCTCCACGCAATGTTCTTTACCATTGTGAGGCACATAGGCGAGTCGTTTTGCTGGAACGACGTGGGCGGGGGTCAGTTCGTTATTAAAATGGGCTCGTCCAACGTAAATGGGGTGACCTTGGTGATCGAAACCCATCGGGACGGCCATGGGCGGGACGGTTTTGTCAGCAACGCAGGAGTTGGTCCAGTAAAAAGGAGCTGAAATTGTAGTAACATACAACATTTTCAGATATATTTTTGGGACACTTACTGTTTCCAGCCATATTAATCCAGAAATGGTGACAGTGATGTGGCTAGAGTAAGAAAATATAGCTTTGTGGGATTTTCGCTATCTTATCTATTTTTTCTTAGAGATTATCGCCCTTACATCATAGATCGTTGCTTTGAAGTTTATTAGCGATTTATCTCTTGTTTTTAGTAGTTTTAAAGATAATACTTTTACAACATTATCCAGAAGTAATATTCTGAGTAAAGGAAATTTCGAAATTTATCATTAAAAAAAAGACAACAAAACTCAAACAAAAATTACAAATATTGAACAAACTGTATTATAAATTACATATTAAAAATTTTGTTACAAATAAATACACAACCATTACTCTTTTCTTGATAACAAAAACATATATCCCCATTTAATTTAAGAAAGCAAAACCTCCTAAGTCTTCTCCGTTTCTTCACCATGGTAAGGAAAACAACAAAAAGCAAACTTGGGGTGTACCTAAAAAAATATAGCAGAGTACAGAGACTAAAACTCAATGGGATTTTGTCTCAAAATAAATATATTATAATTTTAAAACTGTATTACAAGCAAATATTAAAACAAAAATGCAGAACAGATGTTCATTTCTCGTAGACGTCTTATAATGAAACTAGGTCTATATATTGTTACGTTGGACGGGTGATTGAAATCGACGTGGGTAAAACTCAACAATTTATTCATTATTCATAATTACCAGAAAGGTGGATCAAAAATTTTAACCTTGAGCGATGAGGAATAGGTTGGTTGTTGTTTGTGATCTTATTGATGACAATAAACTAGAAATTCTTTATTGTTGTTATTTAAGTACATATGCATATATTAAATTTTCACCTTCAGACTTTCCAACTGATATATACAAGATCAATCGGCAAATAAATTCGTCGACAAGGATTAAGAAAATGCGATAATATTTTTTGCACAAGGGATAAGATAACGAAAATCCTTAAAAGCAACTTATTCCAACTCTAACCATTAGTTGTCTCTTGTCGTCACTGTTGTCACTTCTTTAAAATGGCCCAGAACAGTAAGTATTTAAAAAATAACTTCCTGTTGCTATATTTAAAAAATTATAGAAATTGCAGATCTCTATCGTTGGGTGGATGCCTCCATCACCGACGAAAAATTTCCTGTCACGGCCTTTGCAATCGGTACCGACAGCCAAGGCCATGTTGTTTACATGGGAAGAGCATACTTTAATGACATTTTGGGTCCTGTCCACGTTGTCCCACAGCGCAAAATAGCTTACTTACCTAATAAAGGCAAAGAGCATCGTGTTGAAAAATTTCAAGTAAGTCAATTTTTTTCCACACTTCTTATATAACAAGTTTTTTGTAGCTTTTGTGTTTGAACCATTTCAAATGGGTGCCAAGTACGGGCGGAAAAGTACTTCCAGGGGCGGTACAAGGTGGTCGTAATCCCTACGGTTTACCTCTGTATGTTGCCAGAGTGTCCCATCAAGGAGGTTCATTTGTTGGAGTGGTAATAAAATAATCGCAATTCTTGCTTTTGTGTAGCTGGATATTTTTCTTAGGTACATCCAAGGGGAGAAACTGGCTCTTTTCCTTACCAAGGAAAGCAAATTAAAACGCAGGATTACCAGGCCTTGATCACACACTTTTATGACGAATAAATGTGGATTTTATATCACAAAAGAAGTTTCATCTATCAAAAATGAACGGGTGCTCATTTTTCGTAGATGAAACTTCTTTCTTCTTGCATTATTCAATTTATATTGTAAGACAGTTGTAAATTGATAATATACTTATTTTAACACGAAACCGTGTAGAATTTTACTCTTTTTAGAATAGACAAATTATTTAACCCAAATCGGTGGAAGTATTTTAGCAGTCAGTCGTGGGTGGTAAATGCTGGACATGTAATAGTTTGATACTTCAACTTACTTTTTAAAGATAATAATATTTTGTATAATATTGCCAAAATGTATTTCTAAAATGTACTAACACAAGATAAAGTTGCAAATAAATTTCTTCGAAGGAACAACACCTGGTGTGAAACTGGTAATATTTTTTCATGGAAGGCACAAGATAATGCAAACCCTTAAAACCACCAATTATAATAATTTCACACGTCTCACCTAATTGCGGACCAACAGTTAGCGATTAATCGAAGTAATCTTTAATAATATTATCCCTACATAAGGTAGGTAAGTAAGTAACTAGGCAAGAAAAGTCAATGCATACTCAATTTCAGTTTAGCAAAGACTCTAAAATACTTGACGTCCTCATTTAACTAATGGTAACGGATTTCCCAAATAGCTAACTACAGGCTGTTGTAAAACCTCACGCTTACAACACGAATAACAGTGTTATTTATAACTTAATGTTTAGAAAATCTAGTGTTATATTTTTGTATATCAATGGCCACATTTTCAAATATGTTGTTGTACTCTCCGACGTCTCTCTGTGTAGCCGTCTTAAACGAATTTGTTTTATGGATTTGTGTACGATTTTCGTTATCTCACTCGTACAGAACGATCTAAATTGGTGCGGCTAAAACACAAATGAATATACATTGTTAAGATATGCAGTTTTTTTTTTCAGAAAAATTAATCTTTTTAAAATTTCCGGATCGTCTTTCTGTGAATTCCACACTTAAAGTTCCAGGATATCATATTTGTTATTTCCCTGCATCGATGTTGTGAAAGACGTTTGTTTATGGGGAAAATCGGTTTCCAACAAAATATCTGGAATTATTATCGTAAATTAATGAGAAGGATTAAATGCTTTTTTCCGATTATTAGTGTTGTTAATCAAAAATTGAACCTCCTGTACAAGTGCTGTTAAATAATAGACTAGTTCTGGATCAGTTAATGTTTTCAAAATCCCAGTTAATGTATTTAACGAAACAAAAATTAATTTGGTTTGAACTAATGTTACTAATTTTTAAAATGATACTGTTATTGGAAATCTAAGAGCACAGTTTTTGAAGTCGTCTAAAAATAAGACGGGATGTCGTTACTCCTGTGATTTGGCTTGCTCAATTTCAGCTCGTTCAGCAAAATGTACATTTGCGTGTTACATGCCACTTTCAGTAATATAGCTACAAAAACCAACGAAGGATTTTTCAGAAGTTTACTTGACAACTTAAATAGTACAGTTCAAAAATGAAATGTTCTTTAGAAACGTAGAAGAGAGAAGACTGTGTTACCGAACAGGAAAGGTTAGTTATTGTTCTGGATCTTATTAATGAAACTAACTCTATAAAAATTTTCTTGTTAAATTTAAACATCAAATTTTCATTTTTGAAAACATTATTGCCAAAACAAATACACAATGCACGAATAAGAGATCAATCGACAAATAAATGTATGGCCAGGGATTAAGAGAGGATGTGATAATATCAAGGTACGTGATAATGAAACGCTTTAAAAGCAACCCATTCTGACTCTAATCATTACTTATCACTGGTCGTCACTTGCCACATCTTGATTAAAATGTCTCAAAAGCGTAAGTATTTATTTAAAAAATACTGCAAATATTTTTTAAATTTGTTTCAGCTCTCTACCGCTGGGTCGATTCTTGCATCACTGACCCCAAATTCCCCGACTCGGTCCTTCAAGTCGGTGCCGATCCCCATGGTCACGCTGTTTACGTCGGTAAAGCACCAGGTGGCGACTATGTGCTCCCTATCACCGTCATCCCAGCGGACAAAAAAGCCAGTATTGGTGTTAAAGGGGTCGAAAATCCCGTTCAGAAGTATAAAGTAAGTCATATTCTTTCATACTTCCTGTGTAACAATTGTTTGGCAGCTTTTGTCTTCGAACCAACTGAAATGGGTGCCAAGTCAAAACGGTGTGGTACTTCCAGGGGCGGTACAAGTTGGGCATAATAAAGACGGTATACCGATATATGCAGCCAGAGTGTTCCACGAGAGGTCCTGGATTGTCGGAGCGGTGATCATATTGAATCAGTTCTTACTTTTGTATAACTAATTATTTTTTTTAGATAAATCCTAAGTATGAAGTTTGCTATTTCCCTTACAACGGCAAAGAATTGACAACCAAGCAATATGAAGCCCTGGTTTCTGAGTTCTACGTAGAGTAGAGTGGACTTTAAAATTGCGAAAGAAGTTGCATCTACGAAAAATGTACATTGTTTAGTTTAATATCTGCTTGTAACACAGTACTAAATTTATAATAAATGCCTATTTTTACGTTAAACGATATTGACTTTTACTATTTTTAAAACCGTATAATAATCGTGTTACCCAAAACGTTCTACACTATGAGATTTTATGTTATTTATTTTATAAGTTTTTGAAAATCTACTAGCCTAAATATTATTCAATTATCTTGAGGTGAAAAAATCAATCAAATTTCATTTTCTTAAAAAAATGCATGTTTTTGTCTGGTCCCTCTTAATCTGCTAAAAATTCAAAATTCAAACTTAAGCATGCACTGATAATATTTTTTCCCGTTGATTGTCGGCTTTAAATATAGTTAATATTGTCCGAACCTGCGCGGATGCGGGGGTGGTATTTTTGCCACTTTCGACACTATTGGTACTAAAGTTACTATTATCCTTCACAGGGGTCGTCCATTGTTCCCTGGATGAGAGTGAGGATGAGATCCCATGGGTAATTTGCTCATGGTTGATTAGGGTTGTTGCTTTTGTAATGGCTGCACCCTCATAAGGATAGTAGCGGAACGTAGTAGTAGTAATAGTACTAAACGATATTTAAGCTGCAATAACATAAACTAGTAGTGGTTTTGATCTGATTTTTGAAACTAAATCTAGCATTACATTTTTGTTGTTTTTTAAATGTTAAATTTTCATTTTCGGAATTTCCAATCAATCAGCCTGTTTAATTTATGTTTATCTTTTTAAAGGGAATGCTATTTTTATGTAATGTTTTGGAAATTTTGTTGCAACGACGAGTACCGAGAAGATAAATTAGCAAATCGATTTACGACCAAGGATTAAGAGAGGATGTGAAAGCGATAATATTTTTCAAGTAAGAGACGAGATAAGGAAAGTCCTTAAAATCAACTTATTCCACTCTAACCATTACTTGTATCTTATCGTCACTGTTGCCACTCTTGTTTAAAATGGTTCAACGTAAGTATTCAACTACAAATATTTTATAAAATACTTACTAAAATTTCAGATCTCTACCGCTGGGTCGACTCCTCCATCACTGATGAAAAATTTCCTTCCACAGCGATTCAAATCGGTGCGGATAGCCACGGCCATCCTATTTACGTAGGAAGAGCGTACTTTAATAACACTTTGACTCCTGTGCACGTCGTCCCAGAGCACAAAATAGCTTATCTGCCTAACGATGGCAAAGAACATTGCGTTGACAAATATCAAGTAAGTCGTATTTTTTCACGCTATTTTTATAACAAAATTTTTGGCAGATTTTGTGTTTGAACCATTTCAAATGGGTGCCAAGTGAAGGCGGCGTAGTACTTCCAGGGGCAGTACAGGCTGGTCGTAATAAAGATGGTATCCCCCTGTATGTAGGCAGAGTGTTCCACGAAGGTACCTCGATTGTCGGAATGGTGATCAAACTGAATCCCAGTTCTTGCATTTGTGTAACTAGCTTTTTTTTAGATAAATCCGAAAACTCTAGTTTGCTATTTTCCTTACCAGGGCAAACAGCTAGTAGCCCAGAGTTACCAGGCCCTGGTTTCTCACTTCTACGAGTATGAGGTGGAGTAAATGTAGATTTTATTAGCAAGAAAGAAGATTCATCTACGAACAATGAGCATAGTTTTGCATTATTCGGTTATATATTGTAACACAATTTGAAATTTATAATATATTTATTTCAACGAAAACCTTGTTGTGTTGGGCAAAATTTGGAAATAAAATAATTCGGAGAAACGGTAGATGATGTTACCTTGATACTATTTTCAAAAAAGCCACAAGATAATGAAAACTCTTAAAAAACTTGTGATCAACAACTATTGCGTATTCAAGGTCCAATCTAATTACGAAAGTGTTCCTAAGAAATTTGGAAGGTTCCTCAATTATTGTAATCCAGCTCGTAAAATAGCTATTTCGACTCAAGAAATTATATAAAAATATATCCAAAAGTAGTACTCTTCCCAGTCTTTGCAATCAAAAATCCCTATTTTTCCTTAAAAGGTTACAATTGAAGCTCAAGTTTATGTCAAAATCAATAGGCGTTTACAACAAATACACTTCTCGAAAAAACAAGGTCAAAAGAGTCGAATAATTTTATTATCTTTACCCAAAAAATGATTGATTTGAATGCAGCAGAACTGGCAACAATATTCCATGGGATGACTAGAGATTGCTGACAAAACTTCAAACCTACAACACAAACAATAGTTTTCTTTATCGTTTGATGTTTATAAAATATAATATTATAATATATTTGTTTATGTAAATGTCACGCTGTACTATCTAAAGTCCATCAGCGTAGCCGTCTTAGCCAGTTTTTTTTTCCAATTTGTGAGCGATATCCATTATGTCAACAAAATCTCCTCTAAAACGATCTAAACGAGGTCAGTTACCTGTTCTAAATTGATAAGATATGCAGCTTAATTCTGATACTTGTTTATAAAAGTTAATCGTTTTAACTTTAGAGATCGTTTCTGTGAATTGCATATTGAAGGTTCCAATTTCACAATTGATATTTTCCTACTATGGTTTCTAAGACAATGTCTAGGACTGTTAACGCATTGATAATGATGTGACACACAAAAATGATTCATACTTGGGGAGCATAGAATAGTGAAGGACTGCGTAGAGATCAGGATACTTATAAACGAAACAAAATCCAGAAATATTTTACTGATTTTTTCTGTAGCAAATGTTAAAAATTGAAGGATAGAAACAGTAATTAATACTGTCAACTGCATGTTTATTTTCCCAAACTACGTTTTCACTTTTCGTGAATCGTATAGGCAATAATTTCCCTATTACTCATAACGCTTCTTGCACTACGCCCGACGGCAATTTTTCTTCTTCAAATTCGTTTTGAGACATTTTTTTCTTGCATGCACTTTTGTAAAAATGAAAATTTTTATAGCAACCCATACCTACTGCTACGATGAAAATAGAGCTTGATATTTAAATTCCTAAATATTTTTTTATATTGTCTTTACATTCTGCTATAGAAGAAAATATAAAAATTTCGTTTTCAGACATTGCAATCAATATTTTTTTAAAATAAGACTATTATTTTATATTGTATATTATTTTGACGATTTTATTGAAAAAACGAATAAAGGCAAGATCGATAAATTTATCGACAATAATAATTGAGAAATGATGCGACAGCGATAATATTTTTGACGGAAGGGATTAGATAACGAAACTCATTAAAAGCAGCCTACTTCAACTCTCACTATTACTTGTCTCTTGTCGCCACTCTTGGCTCTTTTTCTTATTTACAATGACCCAAAACAGTAAGTATTTATAAAAAAATTCCTTGTTGCCATTAAAAAAAATATATATGTAGAAATTGCGGATCTCTATCGCTGGGTCGATTCCTCCACCACTGACGAAAAATTTCCTTCCACGGCCTTTCAAATCGGTACCGATAGCCAAGGCCATGCTGTTTACATGGGAAGAGCATACTTTAATAACACTTTGTCTCCTGTCCACGTCGTCCCACAGCGCAAGATAGCTTACCTGCCTAACGATGGCAAAGAACATACTGTTGAAAAATTTCAAGTAAGCCTAATTTGTTCCCACTTCTTTCATAACAAGTTTTTCGCAGCTTTTGTGTTTGAACCATTTCAAATGGGTGCCAAGTACGGCAGGCAAAATACTTCCAGGGGCGGTACAAGGTGGTCGTAATCCCTACGGTTTACCTCTGTATGTTGCCAAAGTGTCTTACCAAGAAAGCTCGATTGTCGGAGTGGTGAGAAAATAATCGCAATTGTTGCGTTTGTGTAGATATTTTTTTTTAGATACATCCGCTTGCGGAATATTGCTCCTTCCCTTACCAAGGCAAACAGGTTACAACGCAGAATCACCAGGCCCTAGTCTCTCACTTCTATGACGAGTAAATGTGGATTTTATGTTAAAAAACAAGTTTCATTTACCAAAAAGGAACGGAGGCTCATTTTTCGTAGATGAAACTTTTTTCTTCTTGCATTATTCGGTTTTATATTGTAACACAGCTTTAAATCGATAATATATTTTTTTTAATACGAAACCTTGTTGAATTTCACCCCTTTTAAAATAGACAAATTGTTTAACCCCAAACGGTGCAAATTTATTTTTTAAAGATAATACTTTTTTGTATAATATTGTGAAAATATATTTCAAAAATGTACTAACACAAGATAAAGTTGCAAATAAATTTCTTCGAAGGAACAATACGTGGTATGACACTGGTAATATTTTTTCAAGTAAGGCACAAGATAATGCAAACCCTTGAAACCACCAATTATAGTAACTAACGTAACGTTACGTTGAACGGGTGATTAAAATCGGCGTGGGTTAAACTCAACAATTCATTTCTTAGTAACTCAAATTCACACGACTAATTACGCAACGATTGTGAATAACCATCGTTCCCTCTATTTAAACCTATACGTTCCTCTGGATGGTTTGAGAACAGCGCGGACTTTTAGTGTTATATTTTTGTATATTAATGGCCACATTTCTAAGTATTTTGTTGTACTCTCTGAAGATCCTCAGGATAGCCGTCTCAACGACTTTTATTTATAGATTTGTGAACGAATTTCCTTATCTCAACAAAACACTCGTATACAACGATCTAAATTGGGTCGGCTGCAATATAAATGAATATAAATTGATAAGATATGCAGTTTTTTTTTTTCAGAAAAGTTAATCGTTTTAAAATTTCCAGACCGTCTTTCTGTGAATTCCACACTCAAAGTTCCAGGATTTCATATTTGTTATTTCCTACATCGATTTTGTGGAAGACGTTTGTTTAGACGGAAAATCCGTTTCCAACAAGATATCTGGAATTATTAACGTAAATTAATGAGAAGGATTTAATGTTTTTTTCCGATTATTAGTATTGTTAATCAGAAATTGAACCTCCTGTTAAATAATAAACTAGTTCTGGATCAGATTAATATTTGAACTAATGTTATTAATTGTTAGAATGAATAAAATGTTCTCTAGAAGCGTAGAGGAGAGGAGACTGTTACCGAAAAAGATAGGTGGGGATTGTTTCGGATCTTATTGCTGAAACCAAATCTAGAACGATTTTCTTGCAACGTTTAAATATCAAATTTTCATCTTACGAATTTCCAATCAATATTTTGTGTAGATTTATTTAAATACAATATTTTGACAATATCATTGCCAAAACGAATACACAATGCACGAATATCAGACAATTTTATGGCAGGAGATTAAGAGAGGATGTGATAATATCAAGGTACGAGATAATGCAATGCTTTAAAAACTTCCCATTCCAACTGTAATCATTACTACTTGTCACTGGTCGTCATTGTTGCCACATCTCGATTGAAATGGCTCAAAAACGTAAGTATAAAAAATAAACCCAAATATTTTTTAAATTTGTTTCCAAGTTTCCGCTCTTTGTTGTTATTATATATTTAAAAAAAATCTGTCAAAATTTTAGCTCTCTACCACTGGGTCGATTCTTCCATCACCGACCCCATATTCCCTCACACGGCCGTTCAGATCGGTAGCGATGCCCACGGCCATCCTGTTTACGTCGGAAAAGCACCAGTTAAGGACATTGTGGCCCCTACCACCGTCATCCCAGACCACAAAAAAGCCACTGTGCCCAATTATCAGAATGAATCTTCCGTTGAAAACTATCAGGTGAGTCATATTTTTTCATACTTCTCTTGTAACAAGTTTTTGGCAGCTTTTGTGTTTGAACGAATTGAAATGGGTGCCAGATCATGACGGCAGGGTACTACCAGGGGCGGTACAAGCTGGTTACAATAAGGATGGTTTCCCGTTGTACGTGGGCAAGGTGTTCCACGAAGGATCCTGGATTGTCGGAGCGGTGATCAAATTGAAACAGTTCTTACTCGTATATAACTAATTTTTTTGTTTTTAGATAAATCCTAAACAGGAAGTTTGTTATTTCCCTTACAATGGCAAAGAGTTATCAAGCAAGCATTACGAAGCCCTGGTCGCGGATTTCTTTAGAGACTAACAGTGGGTTTTAAAATCACGAGAGAAGTTTCGTATACGAAAAATGTACATTATTCAGTTTAATATTTTATTACTTATTTTTAGACCAAACCACATTGACTTTTACTCTTTTTAAAACAGTTGCAAAAAGTACTATTGATTGTTAAGTGTGAGTGAAGTAATAAAAACGATTAGTTGTTTGGCATCTTTTTTTAATATTAAATTTTCTTCTTCCGAATATCCAATGAACATTTACCTCTAAAATTAATGTTTATTTTTTAAAGATACTACTATTTATTTTAGTATAAAACGAAAACGAGTACACACAAGATCAGATAAATTCGCGCGAAGGATTAAGGGAGGGTGTGACAGGGTAAATCATTTTTAAGTAGGGACAAGATAATGAAATGGTTCAAAAACCTATCCCAACTCTAATCATCAGTTGCGTCCCGTCATCGATAGTGTCACTTCTTGGTTAAAATGGCTCAAACGCGTAAGTAGTTTTCACATGTTGTTCATAAAAAAAAATATATCAAAATTTAGCTTTCTACCGCTGGATCGATTCTTGCACCACCGACAACGATTTCCCTTGCACGGCTTATCCAATCGGTGCCGATTCCAGCGGTCATAATGTTTACGTAGGCAGAACACACTTTGAGCAAGTTTTGGGCCCAGTCACCGTCGTTCCAGAGCTCAAAAAAGCCTCTCTGCCTGGCAATGGGAAAGAGCATGCCATTGAGAAATATCAAGTAAGTCATATTTTTCCACACTTCCTTTATAACATGTTTTCGACAGCTTTTATGTATGAACCATTTTCAATGGCTGCCCAGTCATGACGGCAAAGTACTTCCAGGGGCGATACAAGGTGGTTATAATAAGGATGGTATACCTCTGTATATAGGCAGAGTGTGCCATGAGGGGTCCTGGATTGTAGGAACGGTGAAAAATTCAATCGCAGTCGTTGCTTTTGAGTAAATCATAGTTTTTCCTTAGATACATCCAAAGTATGGGGTTTGCTATTATCCTTACCAGGGCAAAGAGTTATCAACGAAGCAGTACGAAGCCCTGGTCTCCCACTTCTATCAGGTGTAGATGTGGGTTTCTATTATCAAGAAAGTAATTTCGACTACGAAGAATGAGCATCCTTTCTGCATTATTTAGTTTTGTATTTGTTTGTAGCACAGCTTTAATGTCGTGTCAATATACTTATTTCTACTACATAGAAATTGTTTTACTCAAAACGGAAAAAGTTAACTGGGTTATTAACATAATTAGTCAGTTTAATTCAATATTAGTATCAGGGTGGTACCTCTGCATATAGCCCCATATTACCAAGGAAGCAGAATAGATTTTTAATAAATAAAAAAGTGACCCCACGACGGAGCCTTGGGGAACTCCCAATTCAACATTGGCTGCAAATCAACAGACCCGTGTTCGGCATTGCCAATCAATATTTGCCCGTTATATACCTACATTTATTTTTTTAGAGATAACTATCTTCATGTATAATATTTTAAGAGTATTACTCCAGAAACAAAAGGATGTGACAGCGTAAATATCTTTTAAGGAAGGGACGAGATAACGAAATCCCTCAAAAGCAACCTATTCCGACTCTAATCATTACTTGTTTCACTACCACTGCAGCCAATTCTTGTTTAAAATGACTTCTCCAATATGTACGTATTTCAAAAAAACTTTAAATCTTTAGAAATTCGTTTCTTGTATTAAAATTTCAGGTCTCTACCGCTGGGTCGATGCTTGCATCACTGACGAAAAAATCCCCGACACCGCTTTTCAAATCGGTACCAATGTCCACGGCCACGCTATTTACGTAGGAAGAGCGTACTTTGAAGACGCTTTGTGCCCTATCCAGGTCATCCCGGCGCAAAAAAGAGCCTATCTGGGTCAAAATGGGAAAGAATATGCTGTTGAGAAATTTGAAGTAGGTCATATTTTTTCATACCACTTTTATAACAACATTTTTGGCAGATTTTGTGTTTGAACCAATTCAAATGGGTGCCAAGTCATGACGGCGTAGTACTTCCAGGGGCGCTACCAGGGGGCCGTAATAAAGTAGGTGTACCTACGTTTGTAGGCAGAGTATTCGCCGAGGGGTCATGTGTTGTCGGAACGGTAATAAAATTGAATCGCAGTTCTTGTGTAACTAAGTATTTTTTCGTAGATACATCCAAGATATGAAGTTTGTTTTTACCCTCACAAGGGTAAATCGTTAGAAACGAACAAACACGAGGCCCTGCTCTGTCTCTTCTATGAGGAGTAAATGTGGTCTTTCGCCATCAAGGAAGAATATTCGTTTACGCAAAATGAGCATCCGGTTTTATATTTGCTTGTAATAGAGTTTTAAATTTGTAATATATATATTTGTTTTAAGACGAAACCATATTTTGTTTTATTTTTTTTTTTTAATGACCAAAATATATCCTATTTCTAAACTTACTCTACACTGGGTTCTTTAAACTCTTTAGACCCTAGACGATTTAAGTTCTCTAGATTCTCAAATTTCTAAATTATCAAAGTTTTGTAAATTCTCTAAAATTCACCGCTCTGTAGCTACTGTTGCCTCTCTAAAGTCTTTAAGATTATAGACTATTTAAATTCTCTAGCTTCTCTAAGCTGTCCATAATTTCTAGATAATCTAGATTCTCTAAGCTTTAGAAACTCTTTAGAACCTTCTAGGTTCTCGTCGAAAGTCCCCGTTTCCTCTAAGATCTCTAGAATCTAGACTAGCGCACTGTAGACTCGACTCTAGACAATTTCAATTTCTTAGTTGCTCTAGATTCATGCTCTGGAAACCCTCTAAACTCTATAGACTCTTAAATTCTTTCTAGAATCTCAACTTCTTAAATTATCTTGGCCATCTAAGTTGTTGTAAGTCCCCACTTTCTCCAAGAGTTCTAGAATCTAGACTTCTTGATTTTATTTTCTGAGGTTTCTAGCCACAGTAGGCTCTCTAAAAAAAAAGTTTAAATTCTCTAGATTTTCTAAGCTGTCTATAGTTTAACTAAACTTTTTAAAATTTCCATTTATTCTAAGATTTCTAGGATATAGACTTTCTGGTTTTATAGATTTTGTGGACTCTCTAAACTCTTTAGACCCTAGACGATATCAGTTCTCTATATTTTCTAAGCTGCCTATAGTTTCAAGATCATCTATATTCTCTATATTTTGGACACCTTCTAACCTCCGTACTCTAACGTCTCTCTAGTTTCTCAAATCCCTAACATGTAGATTTTCTAAGTTCTCGAAAGTCTCAATTTTCTCTAAGATCTCTAGAATCTAGACTTGTTGATTTTATAAATTATCTGGAATCTCTAGCTACAGTAGGCTTTCTAAGTTCTTTTAAGTTCTCTATATTCTCTAAGTTGTTTATAGCTTCTAGATTCCCTATATTCTCTATGCTCTGGAGACCCTTTATGCTTTGTACTCTAAATTCTCTTTAGACTTTCAAATCCCTAAATTTTTTAGATCTTCTAGATTCTCTTAAGTCCCCATTTCCTCAAGATCTCCAGAATCTAGACCTATCAGCTTTTATAGAACGTACTGTAAACTCTTCAAAGTTTTCGACTTCGGCCGATTTAAATTTTCTAGATACTGTAGATTTTCCAGACTCTGGAATTCCTTTAAACTCCGTACTCTTTCTAAACCCTCCATTTTTTCTGAGATTTATAGAATCTAGACGTTTTAGTTTTATAGATTTTGTGGAGTTTGGAGCTACAGTAGGCTCTCTAAACTCTTTAAACCGTAGACGATTTAAGTTCTCTACATTCTCTAAACAGTCTATAGATTCTAGATCCTTTATGTTCTCTATCCTCTGGAGACCCTCCACACTTCCTACTCTAAATTTTCTCAAGATTCACAAATCTCTAAATTGTCTAGATCTTCTAGATTTTCTAAAGTCCCCATTTTCTCTAAGATCTCTAGATTCTAGACTTCCCAGATTTTATAGATTTTCTGGACTCCCTAACTTACTGTAGACTCTTCAAAATCTTTCGACTCTGGGTGATTTAAATTTTCTAGGTACTTTAAATACTCCTGGCTCTGGAAATCCTCTAAACTAGGTAGACTTTTTAAAGTCTGCATTTTTTCTGAAATTTCTAGAATCTAAACTTTTTAGTTTTATAGATTTTTTTGGATTCTTGAACTACAGCAGGCTCTCTAACTTCTTTAGTCTCTAGACGATTTAAGTTCTCTAGATTCTTTAAGATGTCTACAATTTCTATTTTCTCTATCTCTATGCTCTGGAGACCCTCTAAACTCCGCACTCTAAATTCTCCCTAGATTCTCAAATCTCTAAACTTTCTAGATCATCTAGATTTACAAAAGTCCCCATTTTCTCTAAGATCTCTAGAGTCTAGAATTGTTGATTTTATAAATTATCTGGAATCTCTAGCTACAGTAGGCTCTCTAAGTTCTTTTAAGTTCTCTATTTTCTCTAAGTTGTTTATAGCTTCTAGATTCCCTATATTCTCTATGATCTGGAGACCCTTTATACTTTGTACTCTAAATTCTCTTTAGATTTTCAATTCCCTAAATTGTTTAGATCTTCAAGAATCTCTTAAGTCCCCATTTTCTCAAGATCTCCAGAATCTAGACCTACCAGTTTTTATAAATTTTCTGGGCTATGTAACGTACTGTAAACTCTTCAAAGTTTTCGACTTCGGGCGATTCAAATTTTCTAGATACTGTAGATTTTCCAGACTCTGGAATTCCTTTAAACTCCGTACTCTTTCTAAAGCCTCCATTTTTTCTAAGATTTATAGAATCTAGACGTTTCAGTTTTATAGATTTTGTTGTGTTTGGAGCTACAGTAGGCTCTCTAAACTCTTTCGACCGTAGACGATTTAAGTTCTCTATATTCTCTAAACAGTCTATAGATTCTAGATCCTCTATGTTCTCTATCCTCTGGAGACCCTCCACACTTTGTACTCTAAATTCTCTCAAGATTCACAAATCTCTAAATTGTCTAAATCTTCTAGATTTTCTAAAGTCCCCTTTTTTCTAAGATCTCTAGATTCTAGACCTCCCAGATTTTATAGATTTTCTGGACTCCCTAACTTACTGTAGACTCTTCAAAGTCTTTCGTCTCTGGGTGATTTAAATTTTCTAGGTACTCTAAATACTCCTGGCTCTGGAAATGCTCTAAACTCGGTACACTTTTTAAAGTCTGCATTTTTTCTCAAATTTCTAGAATCTAAACTTTTTAGTTTCATAGATTTTTTTGGATTCTTAAATTACAGCAGGCTCTCTAACTTCTTTAGTCTCTAGACGATTTAAGTTCTCTAGATTCTTTAAGATGTCTACAATTTCTATTTCCTCTATCTCTATGCTCTGGAGACCCTCTAAACTCCGCACTCTAAATTCTCCCTAGATTCTGAAATCTCTAAGCTTTCTAGATCTTCTAGATTTACAAAAGTCCCCATTTTCTCTAAGATCTCTAGAATCTAGAATTGTTGATTTTATAAATTATCTGGAATCTCTAGTTACAGTAGGCTCTCTAAGTTCTTTTAAGTTCTCTATTTTCTCTAAGTTGTTTATAGCTTCTAGATTCCCTATATTCTCTATGATCTGGAGACTCTTTATACTTTGTATTCTAAATTCTCTTTAGATTTTCAAATCCCTAAATTGTTTAGATCTTCTAGATTCTCTTAAGTCCCCATTTCCTCAAGATCTCCAGAATCTAGACCTACCGGCTTTTATAGATTTTCTGGGCTCGTAACGTAAACTTTTCAAAGTTTTCGACTTCGGGCGATTTAAATTTTCTAGATACTGCAGATTTTCCAGACTCTGGAATTTCTTTAAACTCCGTACTCTTTCTAAAGCCTCCATTTTTTCTGAGATTTACAGAATCTAGACGTTTTAGTTTTATAGATTTTGTGGAGTTTGGAGCTACAGTAGGCTCTCTAAACTCTTCAAACCGTAGACGATTTAAGTTCTCTACATTCTCTAAACAGTCTATAGATTCTAGATCCTCTATGTTCTCTATCCTCTGGAGACCCTCCACACTTCGTAGTCTAAATTCTCTCAAGATTCTCAAATCTCTAAATTGTCTAAATCTTCTAGATTTTCTAAAGTCCCCATTTTCTCTAAGATCTCTAGATTCTAGACTTCCCAGATTTTATAGATTTTCTGGACTGCTTACTGTAGACTCTTCAAAGTCTTTCGACTCTGGGCAATGTAAATTTTCTATATGCTTTAGATTATCCAGGCTCTGGAAATTCTCTAAACTTTTTGAAGTCTCCATTTTGTCTAAGATTTCTAGGATCTAGACTTTTTGGTTGTATAGATTTTGTGGACTCTCTAGCTAACTCTCTAGACTCTAGACGTTTTAAGTTTTCTACATTCTCTAAGCTGTCTATAGTTTCTAGATCCTCTATATTATCCATGCTTTGGATACTCTAACCTCTGTACTTTAAATTCGCGCTATCAAGGAAGAAGATTCGTTTACACAACAAAATGAGCATCCGGTTTTATATTTGCTTGTAACAGGGTTTTAAATTTATAGTATATGTATCTGTTTTAAGACGAAATCATATTGTGTTTTATTTTCTTTTTTTAATTACAAATTAAGTATTTTACCTAATGACCAAAATATATCATTATTATGTTTGTTTATATAATCACGGCACTTGTAAATTTTTCACCGTACTGTCTGATGTCCCTCAGGGTACATGTCCAAAGCCAGTTTTATTTCTCCTATTTGTAAACGATTTTCGCTATAGAACCATCTAAGTAAATGGGTGTATGTATAAGTGACTACAAATTGAAAAGATATGCAGTTTAATCCTGATATTTATTTAGAAAAGTTAATCTTCTTAAAATTTACAGATCGTCTGTCAGTGAATTCCACATTTAAAGTTCCAAGATTTCATATTTGTCATGTTCCTACAGAGATATTGCCAAATACGCATGTTGCAATTACAATCAATATATTAAATATTTGATTTCAATTATTTTATCACTAACTGTTACTATAAAAATGTAGCCGTAAGCAGCAACGGCACAATACTTAAAATATAATTTTAATCTAAAAATCACCATTTGGATTTTTAGCATTTTATTGTTAACAGAGGACTATGTATATTACGAAAAAAAGTCATTGGATAAGCTCCACCCACTCACCCCCATCACAATTGTGATGGGGGTGGGTGTCACATCGAGAGGTGCAGCTTAATATTGTAAAATCTATATTTCACGACAAAAAATTTGCATTTAAACATGTTTCAAGTTTCTTATTATGACAACGCATATTAAGAAAAAAAAAGGTAAAATATAAGCCCCACCCACCCGCCTCTGTCTCAATTGTGATGAATCTTTGTATTCGTTGTCCGCTAAGGGGCGGAGCTTAATTGCAAAATCTCTATTTCTTTACAAAAAATTACCATGTGAAAAGTCCACCAGGGTTGCCATATCTACCGATTACGTACAGTAGTTTTTTCCCCTAGAAAAAATAAGAATATTTATTCCCTATTTTTTCTCAAAATAGTCTACTTTCAACAATACGATCAAATCTCAAACATTTTTCACTTGGTAATTCCTTGTACAGAAAAATGGACTTCGTAATTAAGCGCCGTCCCGTCTCACGACGAATAAAAAAATTAACCACAAGAGTAGGGGGCGGGTGGGTGGGGCATAATATTTGCCTTATTTTTCTTTATATATATAGTTTTCTTGCAACAACACGACACTTAAATCACGCTTAACATGATAATTCCTTGTAAAGAAATATGAACTTTGCAAATAAGCTCCGCCCCCGTCCCACGATGGACAAAAAAATAATCGGAATTGAGATGGGGGCGGCCGGGGGTGGCCTATATTTAGCTCTTAACAAAATATTTTATGTTCAAAACTGTAAAATTTTGTAGACAAATATGGATTTTGAAATTAAGCTCCGCCCCTCGATCCGACAACAAATGAAAAAAGACCAGGGCGAGGTTTATCATTGGCTTCTTTTTATTGATATAGTTTACTCTCGACAACACGACACTTAAAACATGCTTCACGCGGTAATTTCTTGTTGAAGAAAAATTCATAATAGGGGGGGGGGGTTATGTTTTGTCTTTTCTCTTAATATATTCGTCACAATTGAGACACGGGCGGGTGGGTGGGGCTTAATCATTGGCTTCTTTTCTTAATGTGTATAGTTTTCTGTCAACAATACGTTACTTAAAACATAATTCTAATCTCAAATTCACCATTCGTCGTCAAAAAAATGGTTTATATAACTCGTTCGAAAAATGGAATATTATCATTGCTCATGTGATTTGCCTCAGTCGTCTTTGGTTGGTTTGGTCCATACTCGCATGATCTTACTGATGAAACTAAATCTAAAATTATAGTGTTACTTTTTAAATACTCAATATTCGTCTTGGAAATTTCCAATCATTATTTGCCTGTTATATTCGAGTTTATTTTTCTAAAGATAACACTATTTATATGTAATGTGCCAACAGAATATTGCAAAAACGAGTACACAAAAGATCAATCATCAATCGAATTTATGGCGAAGAATTAACAAAAGGTGTGACAGAGTAAATATATTTTATTTAAGCAACGAACGAGATAATAAAAAGCCTTAAAAGCAACCAATTCCAGTTCTAATCATTACTTGTCTCTCGTCATCACTGTTGCCACATTTTGATTAAAATGGCTCAATATCGTGAGTCTTAATTTAAAAAAACAAATACAACATTTTTTGAATTTGTTTCCCACTTTCAGCTCTGTACCGCTGGGTCGATTCTTCCATCAATGACGAAAATGTCCCTGCCACAGCCTTTCAAATCACTACCACTACCCATGGTCATCCTGTTTACGCAGGAAAGACGCCCTTTGAAGATGTTGTGCTCCCTGTGAACGTTATCCCAAAGGACAAAAAAGCCACTCTAGCTCTCAACGGGAAAGAACATGCCGTTGATAAATATAAAGTAAGTTGTATCGTTCCAGACTTCTTTTATAATAAGTTCTTTTAGCTTTTGTGTTTGAACCAAGTCAAATGGGTACCAAGTCAAAACGGGATAGTACTTCCAGGGGCGGTACAAGCTGGTCATAATATGAATGATATACCTTTGTATATTGGCAGAGTGTTCCACGAGGAGTCCTGGATTGTGGGAGCGGTGATAAAATTGAATCGCAGTTCATGATTTCGTATAACTAGCTATTTTTTCGTAGATAAATCCGAAGTATGAAGTTTGCTATTATCCTTACCAGGGCAAAGAGTTATCAGCGAAGAAATACGAAGCGCTGGTCTGTGAGTTCTATCAGGAGTAATATGTGGTTTTATAATCAAGGAAGAAGTTTCGTCTACGAAAAATGATCATCTGTTCTGCATTATTATGTGTTTTAAATTTATAATATATCTATTTTAAGACGAAACCATAGGTAGTTTTAATTTTTTAAACTAGATAAATTGCTTTTTCTACAATTTGGTTATAAATACAAACTAAACTAAATTTTATGCATGTGTGTTTCATTTACTAAGATCCAAACTGAGAGGCGGCACGTGTTCATGACCTATTTCGACCCTATAATCAATATAGAAATCCTGTATTTTATTAAACAGAAAATTTTTATTTTCGGAATTGTCAATCAATATTTGCGTGCTAAATCCGTATTTATTTTTCCAAAGATAATACTATTTGTATACAGTGTGTTTACAGCATTAATGCAAGTGCACACAAGATCAATCGGCAATTAAATTCATGACCAAGAATTTAGGTAGGGTGTGACAAGGTAAATATTTTTTACGTAATGAACAAGATAATAAAATGCCTTAAAAGTAATCCTTTCCAACCTTAACTATCACTTGTCGTTCGTCATCACTACTGTCACTTTTTGATTAAAATGACTGAAATGTGTAAGTATAATTGCAAATATTTTTGAAATTTGTTGTCCATAAAAAATATATATTAAAACATTAGCTCTCTTCCGCTGGGTCGACTGCTGCATCACCGACGACAACGTCCCTTCCACGGCCCTTCCAGTCGGTACCGATACCCATTTACATAGGAAGGGCACACTTTGAGAACACTTTATCTACTGTCCACGTCATCCCAGAACACAAAATAGCCCATCTGCCTCACAATGGGAAAACACATTGCGTTCATAATTACCAAGTAAGTGATATTTCTCACAATTCCTTCGTAATACCACAAGTGTTTGGTAGATTTTGTGCTTGAACCATTTCAAGTGGGTCTCAGATCATGACGGCAGAGTACAAGGGGCGGTAAAAACTGGTTCTAATAAGAACGGTGTGCCTCTGTTTCTAGGCAGAGTGTTCCACGAGGGGTCCTGGATTGTCGGAATGGTGATCAAACTTTTCCATTTCGTGTATTTGTGTAACTAGCGTTTTTTCTTAGATAAATCCAAGATATGATACTTGCTTCTACCCTTACAAGGGCAAATCTTTAGAAGCGAACAAACACGAAGCCCTGGTTGGTCACTTCTATGAAGAGTAAATGCGAGTTTTTTACCAAGAAGAAGTTTCGTCTATGAATTTGATTGCTTGTAACACTGTTTTAAATTTATAATACATTTATTTTAAGACAAAACCATTTTGAGTTTTATTCTTTTTAATTTTACGTTGTGGATTCATATAATTAATTAGACAGACGTGAAAGTGATGCACATTGGAAGGATTTAATGTTTTTTCGCTTTATTGTTGTTGACCAGAAACAACACAAAGGAAGGACTTTGTTCTTTACGACTTTGACCCACTCCTTGATCTTGTAGTTTCCACGTTTCTGATCCAATTTAGGCACAATTACACTTAATGATGTAAAGCTATTTATGTAAACAGACGCATTTTACGACAAAGTTTACGTGTATCTCCGTAATGAGATCTGCCGTAATTAAGTTTCAATGTTTTAATAACATGTTTTCTCGACAAAAATAACGTAGGACAGTCACTTGTGCTTTAGAGCACGAAGCGATATTTTATTGGTGGAGTGCGAAAGTTTAAGCACGACACGACAATTGTGACAAAGCCACTTTACGCCCGAGATACACTTAGAATTTTCTCCAACTTCTGAGTTTTTCGATTTTTAATAAGTTTTGCAATTTTTTTATTTAAAATTGCCCGAGTTTTCAATTTTTTATTTTGAAAGTTTTAGATTCTTTAATTATATTTCTTCAGATTCGCCAATTTACAATTTTTCCTTTGGGTTTTGTGTTTTTTTTATTTTTGCAATTTTTCGAATTTTCAATGTTCCGAATTTATAATTTCTTGTGTTTTCAATTTCAATTTTTTGTTTCTCGTTTTTTTAATTTTTAAATTTTTCAGTTGCTTGATTTTCCAACTTTTAGATGTTTGATAAATCGATTTGCAATTTGAGGAGTTTTCAGCTTTTAACTTTTCAATTTTCCATCTCTTTCAGTTTTTCGATTTGTAATTTTTCGTTTCAGCTTTTCATTCTCTTTATTTTTTCAATTTTTCGTTTTTTCAATGTTGTGATTTTATAATTTATCTTTTTTTAATGTGAAAATTTTCAGTTTTCGGATTTTTGAATATTTCGATTCGCAATTTTTGGGTTTTCACATTTTCGGTTTTTCAACTTTTAGATTTTTTTATTTTTCGTTTTTTCAGTGTTAGATATTTCAATTAAATGTTAAAATATTTAAATATGTAAAAATTCATTTATAAAATTTTTCACTTCATCAATTTGGGATTTCAGAATTTTTCCATTTTTCAATTAATGGACTATAAAACTGTTTCACTCGTTAGATTTTTCAATTTTTTGATTTTTTATTTTTGTATTTTTCGTTATTTAATTTTTTAATCTTTCGATTTATACAATTTTCGTTTCGCTTTGTATTTTCTTTATTCTTGCAATTTTTCGAATTTTCAATGTTCTCATGTTCCTTAAATCTTAATTTATTCAATTTCTCGTTTCTTCAATTTCTCGATTTGCAATTTTTTAATTTTTCAATTTTTTGGTTTCTTCAAATTTACCTTATACTAACGTTTCGAGATTTCCTTTTTAAATTTTTCAGTTTTTCGATTTTCCAACTTTTGGATGTTTGATATTGCAATTTACAATTTCAGAAGTTTTCAAATTTTAAATATTGAATTTTTCAGTTTTTTAGTTTTTCGATTTGCAATTTTTCGTTTCAGTTTTTCATTTTCTTTATTTTTTCAATTTTTCGTTTTTCAATGTTATGATTTTATAATTTTTCTTTTTTTATTACGGAAGTTCTGAGTTTTCGGATTTTTCAATATTTCGATTTGTAATTTTTCGGTTTTCAATTTTTCGGTTTTTCGGTGTTAGATCTTTCAATTTCTCGATTTTTCAATTTTTCGTTTCTTCATTTTTTGATTTGCAATTTTTCTAGTTTTCATTTTAAATATGTAAAAAATTCATTCTGAAAATGTTTCACTTTATCAGTTTTAGGATTTCAGAATTTGTCCATTTTTAAATTATTGGACTATAAAACTTTTCCATTTATTAGGTTTTTAATTTTTTGATTTTTTATTTTTGAATTTCTCGTTAATTAATTTTTCAATGTTCTGAGTTTATAATTTCTTGTTTTTGAAAAAATTTCAATTTTTTCAATTTTACAATTTTTTGGTTTCTTAAATTTTACATTATATGACGTTTCGAGTTTACATTTTTCAGTTTTTCCATTTTCCAACTTTTGTATGTTTGATTTTTCGATTTCAGGAGTTTTCAATATTTAACTTTTCAATTTTTCATTTTTTTCAGTTTTTGAATTTGCAATTTTTCGGTTAATTTTCATCTTCTTTATTTTTTCGATTTTTCGTTATTTCAATATTCTCATTAAATAATATTTCTTGTTTCAATGTGAAAATTTTCAATTTTCCATTTATTAGAATTTTTATTTTTGAATTTCTGGTTATTTAGTTTTTCAATCTTTCGATTTTTACAATTTTTCATTTCGGTTTGTATTCTCTTTATTTTTGCAATTTTTCAATGTATTTCGATTTGCAATTTATCCGTTTACAATTTTTTTGTTTATCACTTTTAGATTTTTTCATTTTTCGTTTTTTCAGTGTTAGATATTTCAATTTCTCGATTTTCCAATTTTTCGTTTCTTCAATTTTTGATTTGCAATTTTTCTAATTTTCATTTTTAATAAAAATGTTTCGATTTTTCATTGCTACAGATTTAGATTTAAGAAAATTTTGACGACCTTGTAATTTTTCGACTTTACAATTTTTGGGTTTTCCGATTTTTCTTCGATTTTTGAGTATCTTGAGCAACGTTTCAATTTTTCGTTTCTCCTCTTCTTCAATTTGCAATTTTTCGATTTTGAAATTTCTCGTGTTATCAGTTTTTCTATTTTTCGATTTTTTCCTTTATTTAGTTTTATATTTTAAACTATTCAAATAAAAAAAAATAGAAAAATTGAAAAATTGTAAAACTGAAAAATCAAAAATGAGAACATGAAAGAGTATAAAACGAAAACTTTGATGCGACTAAAAACTGGAAATCAAGAACTTGAAAATTTGAAGAAACGATGAATTAAAAAATCGAACTGAGAAACTTAAAAATCCAAAAAGTGCAAAATTAAAAAAACGAAATATTATAAAATGGAAATATTGAAAATTAAAGAAATCGGAAAATCGGATGACTGAGAGAGAAATACACAAATTGCAAAACGGATAATTTTAAAAATTGGAAAATCGGGGAATTGATATTTCGATTTACCATTTCAGGAGTTTTTAATTTTTCATTTTTTCAGTTTTTCCATTTGCAATTTTTCGTTTCAGTTTTTCATTTTTTTTATTTCCTCAGTTTTTCGTTTTTTCTATATCCTAGTTTTATAATTTTTCTTTCTCAATATGAAAAGTTTCAATTCTTGGATTTTACAAGACTCCGATTTGCAATTTTTTGGTTTTTCAACTTTAAATTTTTTTAAATTTTCGTTCTTTAGTGTTAGATATTTCAATTTCTTAATATTTCAATTTTGCGTTTCTTCAATTTTTGCTTTGCAATTTTTCTAATTTTCATTTTAAATATGTAACAATAATCATCATCTGGAAAATTTTTCACTTTATAAATTTTACTACTTCAGAATTTTTCCATTTTTCCATTATTTGACTGTAAAACTTTTCCATTCATTAGATTTTTCACCTTTCCGATTTTTCATTTTTGAATTTCTACAATTTTACATTATAAGATGTTTCGAGTTTTCATTTTTAAATTTTTCGATTTTTCGATTTTTCAACTTTTGGATGTTTGATATTTCGATTTACAATTTCAGGAGTTTTTCAATTGTTAACTTTTCAATTGCTCGTTTTTTCAATTTTTTTAATTTTATAAATTTTCTTGTTTCAATTCAATTGTTTTCATTCTTGAATTTTTCAATATTTCGATTTGTGATTTTTCGCTTTTCCAACTTTTAGATTTTTTAATTTTTCGTTTTTTCGGTGTTATATATTCCAATTTCTCGATTTTTCAATTTTTCGTTTCATCAATTTTTGATTTGCAATTTTTCTAGTTTTCATTTTAAATATGTAAAAATTATCATTTTTAAAATTTTTCACTTTATCGATTTTAGGATTTCAGAATTTATCCATTTTTCAATTATTGGACTATAAAACTTTTCCATTTATTAGATTTTTCCCTGTTTCGATTTATTATTTTTGAATTTCTCGTTATTTAATTTTTCAATTTTTCCATCTTTCAGCGCTACAGCTATTTGATTTTAGACAAGTTTGACGACCCTATAATTTTTCGACTTAACAATTTTTGGGTTTTCCAATTTTTCGATTCATTAATTTCTTCGATTTCTGAGTTTCTCGCGCAGTTTCAATTTTTCGTTTCTTCTGTTCTTTGACTTGCTATTTTTCGATTTTCTATTTTTTCGAATTTGCAATATCCTGTTTTTTCAGTTTTTCTATTTGTAAATTGAAAATCGAAACGGAAAATACGAACGAGTCTAAAACGAAAACTTTGACACAACTAAAAACTGGAAATCAAGAACTTGAAAATTTGAAGAAACGAAAAATCAAAAAATTGAAAGATTTAAAATTGAAACTTAAAGTGCAAAATATCAAAAAAACGAAATATTATAAAATTAAAATATTGAAAATCAACGAAATCAGAAAATCGGATGACTGAGAAATCCGAAAATTCCAAAATGGGAAATTTTAAAAATTGGAAAATCTAGGAATTGAAAAATCAAAAAAAAAATTGTGGTGGCGGCATCTGATTGTTGTCAATTCTACGCGGAGGTTATTAACATCCATCAATAATGTAAATTAAATTTAAAACAAACATTTACATAACTAAGCCGATTAACCCATTCAATAAGGTACACTTTGACAATACGGTTGAACACAAAGCGCTCTCTATTAACTTTCCTTTGACATAATTACCCCACAAATTGATTAAAATGTGACATTAAACACTATTTCCAATGATTTGTAAAATTGTTTCCACGAACAAAAGAACTCGAAAATTGTTAATGTCGTTCGTATTTTGCGGCAACAAAATGAGTCGTTGGAGCAATTATGAGTCCGTGTATCGAAAGCTCGTCCCTCCCGCCGCTCATTCTCCACAGACCGTCCGTTTTCTGATTCCCTTTC